GCGCCCTTGCTGAGATGCCTTAGGCCAGCATTCGAGATGGAGAACCCAGAGGAGGCGAGGAGTCCGTCCTAGCAGGGAATCGGGGTGGGGGAATGGGGGAGTGGGGGGGTGGGGGAGTCGGGGCTACTGCAGAGGAGGAACGTGCCCTGGGGGTGCCGGCGCCCGTGGGCGAGGCTGCCCTGACAGCCTCGCTCTCGTGGGGCCTGCCCATCCTGCTGGCAGCGGGTGAACGAGAGGAAACACCAGTTCCCCGCTGCCCGCCAAGGCGGAGAGCCGAGTGGGGAGACATGCAGTGGGTGTCTGGGGATTTCTAACCTGCTGTTGGTTCCTTTCACCCAAAATGCATACACACTCTGAATATCTACTAATTCCAATGAGTTTAAGCATGAAAAGAAAGAAACAGTGGAGCTGTCATCTGTTAATAGTTCATCCCCCCAGGGTGTGGGGAGGGTTTAGAGAGGGTGCAGGCTGAGCTGAAGGACGCCCAACCCTGTGCACGAATTTTGTGCACCGGGCCCTCTAGTTTAAAATAAAAAGAAACAAGAGTGTGGATCTGAGCCCCTAGCAGCTGGCCTACGGTCCAACTGTCCTCTAGTCTTTCTTTAAAGGACTAACCAGTCTCCTGGAGGCAAAGTTAATGTGTAAACTGCTAAATCTTAGTGACTTAAAACCAAAAGAATGGACTATTTCCCAGGATTCTGTGTGTTAGCTACTGACTCCTCCCTGACTCACTTGCAGAGCTGCACTCAGTGGTGACTAGGGGTATATGGAGGGGGGGACGGGAGGTTAAATTGGCCGCAGCCCTGTACCCCCTGCATGGGGCCTGGTGCTGGCTCCTGACTGAGGCCTTCAGGGTTCCACATGCTCTCATCCTGCAGTAGCCAGACGCACCATCTTCCATGATGAAAGGAACTTTCCAGGGGACAGCAATGGAAGCTCCCAGTCTTGAAGCCAGACTCTGGAACCTGCTCCGAGGCTCACTTGGATGCTAAGCTGGGCTTAGATGCCCCCACATGATGAGGAGAGCAGCAGAGCTGTCTAGGGCTGGGCCCAGGGAGCCGGGATTGCCGGGCTCAGCATCAGGCTGCTCACACGTACAGGCTGCATCCCAGCTCTCTGGGGAGCCTGGTAGCACACAGATTGCTGACCATCCCCCCAGAGTATCCGGGCCAGGAGGCCAGGCCATGTAGCTCTTGGGCAATGTTGACACTGCCGGTGTGGGGACTGCTTTGAGCCACCAGTGAAGGCATTAAGTGTCCAGAGCAGTGGCTCTCACCCTTGACTGTACACTGGAAACATCTGGGCAGCTGTACGCACATAAATGTCAGTTCTGGGTATTCCTGCAAGGAAAAAGTCAAAGCATTGTGCGGTGCTATGGGCTTTGGCATAGCAAACTGGCCTATAATTTAATCCTGTAAATCATTGCAAAGGTCACTGAATACCTTCAGTGCTTTTACAACTTAGTCATCCCCTGATGAGTTGGGTAAGCAAGTACCAAGAAAAGTTGGAGGAATTTTATCTCAATTGTCACCAAGTGACCTATTGGGGAATTCCATTTTTCCAAGTCACACTGTGATATGCTTTATTGTTAAAGGGACTTTGTAACAAAAAGCCATGGCTTCCTGGGAAAGGCCGCCCAGCTCTGCTTGGGGAGACCACTGGAAGGCAGCTGCCTCAGTGCAGAGCCTGGACTTGGACTCCCAGGACCTGGGCGATCAGTGGCACCCAGCAAGGAGTGGGTCTATGTCAGTCAGATATCCCCCAGGGGCTCCGAGACTGCAAGAGGGCACAGGCTGGGCTGAGGTACCCCCTGCCTCTGTGGCCCCTATGCACAGCCTCTAGTTTGATTGAAATCAAGAACAATAAAGGGTTTCTGGTCCAGACCAATCCAACCCAGAAGGATATGGGGTAGAGATGGAAAGTCCTTGCACCCATTTCCTCCCTCCCTGATAAACCCACACTCTGTGTGCCCTTCCAAGCTCTCAAGATAAACCAAGTATAAAGAAAGAACCTGACCTAAGTTGCCGCCTCGCACAACAATTTCAAAACAACTAAAAGGAGAATCCAAGATGGCTGCTCGGGTAGGCAACTAGCCGCAGCCGCACACAATTTCAACAAAATACAACTAAAATATATCAATAAAATGGACATTACCCAGAACTACAGGAAAGTCGACTGACTGGAAATTCTACAACAAGAAGCAAGGAGAAAACCAGAAGGAAGTGCGGAGGAGCTGTAAAAGCCCAAGGTACGGAGACACGCGGCGCGCGCGGAGAGGACAGAGCCGGAGAGGAGGGAGGCCGAGTGCCTGGCTGGTGGTCCCAAGCGGGAAGGAGAGAAAAGCTCCGACTGTGCTGGGCCCAGCTCCAACTGCTCTGAATCCCAATTCTAGGCCAGACCCCGGGGACCCAGGCTCATCCATAGAGAGCCGGGCTGTAAGGCGGGACTCAGGGGAAGCGGCGAAAGGAGGTCCCGGAGGCACGCACACTGCGCGCAGAGAAGGGCCGGCCAGCTGTGCCGCGGGATTGCCCTGACGGGAAGGAGACAGGGGCTCCAGACTGCTCTGAACGCCACCTCCAATCCCACTACCAACTGAACTGAACCCCAATACTGGACTCATTGGGGGAGAGCATAGACAGTTTGGCAGCAGGTGAAAATCGAGGGCACCTTTCTCTCAGAGGCGCTCGCAACAAGTACTGAAGGACCCTGAGTCTCAGGAATCACATAGGGCGGGGCTGAAGGAAGCCAAGGCTGTAGGCTCCACCCTGAAACCCCGCCCCATCAGGAAAGCTGCCTGCGAAAATGCCTAAACCAAATAGATCACAAACGAAAGAAATGGAGGACAAAAAGCAACTGGATATAGAGTTCAAAACCACACTTATAAGGTTGTTCAAGAATCTCCTAGAAAAGGCCGATAAAATAAACAAGACCTATGAGGATATGAAAAGGGATCAACTAGAAATAATAAGGGATCAACAAGAAATAAAGAATACTTTGTCTGAAATAAAAAATATTTTATGGAGTCCTAAAAACAGAATGGAAGATCACAAGAATCAAGTCAAAGATTTGGAACATAAAGAGCCAGAAGACACTCCTCCGCAGATGCAAGAAGGCCAGAGAATCCAGAAAGTTGAAGATAATGTAAGAAACCTCTGGGACAACTTCAAGCGAACCAACATCAGAATTATGGGGGTCCCAGAAGATGAGAGAGAGCAAGATATCGAAAACATACTGAAAGAAATAGTGACAGAAAACTTTCCCCACCTGGTGAAAGAATTAGACTTACAAGTCCAGGAAGCGCACAGAACTCCAAACAACAGGAATCCAAAGAGGACCACACCAAGACAAATCATAATTAAGATTCCAAGAGCAAAAGACAAAGAGAGAATATTAAAAGAAGCAAGAGCAAAGAAGGTAGTTACCTATAAAGGAGCACCTATACGATTGTCAGCTGATTTCTCAACAGAAACCATGCAGGCCAGACGGGAATGGCAAGAAATATTCAAGGCGATGAATAGCAAGAACCTACAGCCAAAGATAATCTATCCAGCAAAGCTATCACTCAGATTCGAAGGTCAGATAAAAAGCTTCACTAATAAAAAAAAGCTAAAGGAGTTCATCACCACCAAACCAGAATTATGTGAATTGCTGAAGGGGGTTCTTTCAGAAGAGAAAGTAAATAAAGATAAAAATTATGAACAACAAATACGTAACTATCAACAAGTGAATCTAAAAACCAAGGAAACTAAAAAAAAAAAAAAATCTGAGGAACAATATTAACTGTTGAATATAATAGAATCAGAGGGATGGAAGCGGAGTGAACTGTTTATTCTTGGGGAAAAGGGGAGAGGGGGATGTGGGAAGAGACTGAACATAAACTCTGCACCTATGGATAAGGACAATGGGGGGTGGGGAAAGGGCAGAGGGTGGGGTGAGAAGGGGGGGGGAAGGAACATTTGTAATAATATGAACAATAAAAATTTATTTAAAAAAAAAAAAAAGAAAGAAAGAACCTGACTGTAACGAGGCCCAGCCGACTTGCTGACTACAGTCAGTGCCACCTTCCTTTAGTAACCAGGAGACCCTCCGGTCTGTTCTGTTGAGGGTGTCAGTGTTAGAGTGCAGAGACGAAGGGTTTTGTGGCCTTGAGTCCCTGGTACAGAGAAGCCTGGGGAAAGTTGTGCATGATCTTGTTTAGCCCAAAAGAGGGTCTAGGCTTACCCAGACCAGGAATGTTGAGGATGCCTACTCCTATGACATCAGGCTTTCAGAACTACAGAAAAAACACAGATCTGTAACCAGAAAGAGTCTGGTGATTACCTCATGTTCTATGACATTCATGTAGGGCTGCTTTGACTCTGAAATTGGCATAATTATATACTTTATAAGTAATTTTTAATTTAATTTTAACATTTTTATTGATTTCAGAGAGGGAGAGAGAGAGAGAGAGAGAGAGAGAGAGAGAGAGAGAGAGAGAGAGAGAGAGAGAGAGAGAAACATCAATGATGAAAATCATTGATTGGCTACCTCCTGCACAGGGTTGGGGATGGTGCATGCAACCTGGGCATATGCCATTGGCCAGAATTGAACCTGGGACCCTTCAGTCATGCTTTCATATGGAAATGACATTTTGGATCTCATAGCTTAAATAAAATATGATTTTAAATATAAAGTCAGCAGCTTGTTTTAACATTTAAGAGGCGACTGCAAGGAAATCTGAAACTGCATATGTGGCCCCATCATATTTCTATTCCCACCTCCGTCAGAACTGCAAAGCCTCCCGCTGTATTTATGCTCACACTTTATGTAAACTTTAGAGCAGAGATGGCTCATTGGAGCCAGAAGCTGTCAGATGGTTTGTAGGGTCCCATGTGGGGCTAACAAGCTGAGTTCACCCAAGTGGAAGGGGACTAATGATTTGGGGATGTTCAGGTTCAAGGGGAACTCATGTTTTGGGGCATTCAGTTCCAGGGGAACTCACGCTTTGGGGTTTTTTTCAGGTTCGCTGTGATCCTGAGATCCAGGAGCTGCGTCAGTGGCAGAAGAAGCTGCGCGAGGACAAGCACATCCGCGAGCGGGTCAGACTCTTCTGGGCCAAGCAAGAGCAGAAAGGTGGGCCGCGGAGTGGAGGCAAGGCCTCATCTCAGAGACTCTGGCTTGCTGTTTCGGGATGGGCCCTGGCACCGTGTGAATGCTGAGGTTCCTGGTCTGACGGGCAGCAGGATGGGCACTGATGAGCTGGGCCCCAGTTGCTTTGTGCCCTTTACCATGTGGGTGCTGCAGGTCTGAGCTCTGGGCAGGAGAGGCCCGCTCATCGTGAGTGCACTTGCTGTTTGTTGTGCTATTTGTCTTCACTGCTAGTGTGAGCTCCATGAGGATAAGACTTTCCCTAGTCCAGAACCTGCCACAAAGTGGGCCTAAATGAGTACTAGCTGAATGAGTGAGTGAGTGAGTCAACAGGTGAAGGAGTGAGTGAGTGAATGAGTAAGTGAGTAAATGAGTGAGTGAGTGAGTGAACAAGTGAACCAGTGAAGGAGTGAGTGAGTGAGTGAGTGAGTGAATGAGTGAGTGAGTGAATGAGTGAACAGGTGAAGGAGTGAGTGAGTGAATGACTGAACAAGTGAAGGAGTGAGTGAGTGAATGAGTGAGTGAATGAATGATTGAGTAAGTGAGTGAATGAGTGAGTGAGTGAATGAATGAGTGCAAAGGTGAAGGAGTGAGTGAGTGAGTGAGTCAACAGGTAAAGGAGTGAGTGAATGAGTGAGTGAAGGAGTGAATGAGTGAATGGGTGAGTGAACAGGTGAATGAGTGAGTGAGTGAGTGAACAGATAAAGGAGTGAATGAGTGAGTGAGTGAGTGAGTGAGTGAAGGAGTGAATGAGTGAATGGGTGAGTGAACAGGTGAAGGAGTTAGTGGAGTGTGAGGCTTTAATGAGTGGCTCACAGCACCAGTGCAGGAGTGCACGTTGGGGTTCTTGTCCACTATCCCTTGTTAAGAAGTTTGAGCTGTAACTGACCACGCAATTGTGTTTCAGACCCAGGAGGGCAGCAGGCATGCTTCTCCCTGTTGTGCTTACTCTTGTGAGTTGGCTGGTTCTGTTGGCTGATGGAGGTGGTGTGCCATGTGGCAGGGAGTGGAGAGTGAGTGCCCAACAGCCAGGGCAGAGCACACATTCTCCTCCTGATCCAGACAGGAGGACAGCCAGCAGGACGGGGGTCAATAGTGCCCTAAACACGTCCCCAGATCTTCAGGGCATGAGGAGGGCAGTCTGCACGCCTGAGGAGTCAGCCAGGTGGTCTTGGAATCCCGTCAACTTCATCTGGGGACCCTGACCCAGCCGCCTCATCGTGCCTCAGGGGGCTGTGTGCAGAGTGGGACTGACACAAGCATCTGTCTAGATGGATGTTGGAGTGTCAGAGGAGAGAATCTTCAGAACAGGTCCTGGCACGTGGTTCTCACACGTGGTTTTGAGAGTATCATTGCGATACCCATGTACTTTCGCATCACAGGGGTTGCTTTCTGCCACCTACTCAGTTCCCTGGGGTCCATGTCAAGACTGGCCTGATGCCCCAGGCCTGGCATGGCACCTGGCATAGAGCCTGGCACAGAACAGGCAGTCTATGCGTACTTGGTGGTTGGATCCCTGGGCTTCAGTCTGCAGATGAAGAAAGGGAGGTCCAGGGACTTGCCCAAGGCCACCGCCTGGGGGGAGCACTTCCTGTGCTCGCACATGCCTGAGGGGTTCTCACCAGACACCCCAGGAATCCCCTGACCACGGCATATTCTTGTCCAGTGTCTGGGCATCAGGTTCTTGCTGTTTGTGTTGTGTTAAGCGAAGCTCCCGTGTAGGAGCAGGGACTGCCTGCCACTAAGTGTCCCATCGCATGTCCCCATGCTGTCATTTGTCAAGCTTGTGCACAGTTATTTCCAGATTTGAGCCTTAGGAATCTGGTTGCTATTGTGGAGATTGAGAGAAGTCCTCAGCCAGGGTGGCACTGTGATTAGACCCACAGACCTCTGATGAAGCCATTTGAAAATGAATAGAAACATAAGTTAGTCCTTCTTTAGATTTGCAAAAAAATACAGGCAGAGCCCGCTGGCGTTGCTCAGTGGTTGAGCACTGACCTATGAACCAGGAGGTCTCGGTTTGACTTCTGGTCAGGGCACATACATGCCGGGTTGCAGGCTTGATCCCTAGTAGGGGGTAGCTGATCAATGATCCTCTCTTATCACTGATGTTTCTCTCTCCCTCTCCCTCCATCTCTGAAATAAATAAAAATACATTTATAAAAGAAGGAAAAAAAGACAAGCAGAGTGATGGCAAATAAAATAGCATTTTTTATTTTTTTTTACTTCATTTAGAAACCCCACAAACCATCTGTGTGCAAACCCAGCAAACAAACACTGTTCTCCTGGGGAAGCCACTTATTCAGACTGCACTCTGTGCTGTGGTATGAATACACTCACCACGCTCACTGCCTGGGCAACGGTGGCGCAGCCAGGAGGCCAGAGGCCCAGCGCCAGCTTTGGGTGGCTGTGGTCATTTATAACCGTCTCATGTTACTCAGAGTTAGAGGCACCCCAAACAAGATTTTCTTTCAGGACAGAGGCTGTTGACATTATCCTTGAGTCTCTATCGGGACAGTTGCAGGAATTATTTTAAAATGTTGTGACAAGCATTGCCGCTAATATAATCCCAAAGAGGATACCTAAGGCATTTTTGAGATGCCATCAAAAGTACCTTCTGAATTATGTCTTTAGCTTCATATAGTCAGTAACAGTTTTCCTTTGTGCTCTGTAACAGACTATCCGTATTTAATTGGAAATCTAGTAAGAGGAGAAAGAAAGAAACCATAGAGTGTTCCCATAGCATCAGATTGTATGTGTGTGTGTGTGTGTGTGTGTGTGTGTGTGATTTATTTGTGTACCAATAATCTTTAAATGACTTTATCATGTCGTCTTGATATTTTAAAGAAAGAGGGTGAAGATGGCTGACCTGTCAAAGGAAACAAATGGTTTACTTTTATTTGTTTACCTGTTTATTCTCTACCTCCTTTTTAAAGTGGTTTGTAGTTTCTTATTTTTAGTATATGTGGTAATTAGGTTAAGGAAAAAATTAAGTAGGGAAAAGATAGAGCCACTAAATGGAGTAAACAAAATACTTAACTCCAAGGCCTACTCTGGTGGATTGTAGATTTCTTACAGACAAAGCAGAGAGGGAGTAGGGTCTGTCACATAACCTATAGTCTCCATAAGAAAGGAGGATAGGCCAGTGGCCCTGGCCCTGGCCCTTCCTCACTATATGTGATGTGCAGGGGGTCTCAGCAGTGTTCCTACATCACAGAGAAGCATGGTGAGTGGTAGGCCCACATGGTGAAGACAGAACACTGACTCCGAGGGCTTCTCCTTCAGGAAGACCCTGTGATGCGATGGGAACCACTCTTCCCCAACCAGAACATGGGATCCTTCAGCAGCACATGCAGGAGGAGGGAGCCAGGAAAGCCTGGAGGGATGAGGGGGAGGGGGATAACCAGAGAAATTCTTTCCCTGATTTTAAATCTAGAATTTTAAGTGTAGATACTAATGACAGAGCATAACCACTAGGGTTGGGTTTTAAGAGCGATTTAAGGCACAACCTCATCATGGCCACCCCACATCTAGTGCCCTGGGTGCCCTGGGGCATGCAGTGCTTAGATCGGGAAGGGCGTCTGGAGCTGATGAGTGGCTGTGATTCACACACTCAGCCTTGTTTCCGTGTGACCTCCCGCTGCTCTGGGGGAGGTGGGGGTGTTCTCTCTACTGCACAGGCAAAGCCAGGCTGAGATGAACGGGTTCAGGCAGGGTAGCATAGCCAGCAGGGCCAGAACAGCACCTGCCTACTGCCAGAGAACCCAAGGCTACCTCATGCCAAGTTGTCCTAGTCAATGTCACCCTGGTGCCAATGGGCATGCTGACCCAGGCACAGCTTCCGACAGGGAGCCAGGACCCAGCAAGGCAGTGCCCATGGGCCAAGGAATCAAGGAGGTTTGGGGTTGGGGAGGCTGAGTCCCCAGCCCCAAGGGATCTACCGCCATGTTCCTGGGAGATGTTTCTTTGGACAGGAAGCCAGGGCAAGTGAAGGATAAGGACCTTCCCTCCCAAGTTTCCTGCCCATGGAGGGATTAGGAACAGCAAGGACTTCACCACAAACAGGACGCTGGGCTCAGAACACATGGTCCGGGGCTTGGGACGGGATTTGGGCATTCACTGTACCGCAAGTGACTAACACACATGCTCTATTGTCTAACAGCAGTCAGCTACTCAGTGACTTATTTTCCAGAGACACCCACTGTCAGCTCATGGCATTTCTCCACCCATTCACCAACATAGAAGTATATTTAGAAAAACTACATCCCTTCTCTGGAAATCAAGATGGCGGCCTAGGTAAGTACCGAAGCTGCCGCCTTGCACAACAATTTCAAAACAACAACTAAAAGACAGAACGGACATCATCCAAAACCACAGGAAAGCTGGCTGGGTGGGAAATCTACAACTAGAAAAAAGGAGAGAGGCTCACAGATCAGGGGAGCCACAAGTGCTGAGGTAGGGAGATGTGAGCTCAGAGAGGAAGGGAGGCCGAGTGCCTGGCTGAGGGAGGGGAAAGGAAGCCCCTGACTGCACTGAACCCCAACCCTGGCCGAAACCCTGTGGACCCAGGCTCATATGGGTGGAGTCTAGACTATAGAGAAAGGCATCTGGAGACTCAGAGACTGGGAGACTTGGGGGAGCTGGGAGCCACAGCGTGCGAGTGAGTGTGTGCAGAGAGGTCTGAATGCAAAAGTTGCCATGGCCTCTCCATAGCGGAAGGAGCAGAAGCTCCAGACTGTACTAAATCCTAGTCCCAACTGCACTAGGATTAAAAATATTATACAGAGACTCAATCCAGTTCTGGGAGAGCCCCTGGGGAACCCACACTCTTACAAGGGGATCTGGACTGTTAGGTAGAAACTCAGGATATCTGGAAGGCAGAGATCTGAGGTGCGTGCATAAGGGCAGGGCTGGAGGGAAGCCAAAACTGTCAGCTCAGCCCTGAGACTCTGCCCCATCCAAGCTGAGCATAGAGGCTTTTGCAG